ACTGTGACGTTGGGACTCTTCAGACACAGTTGAGTAAACCATATTTTGAACAAGCAGCTTCTGAATACTTGCCACTCCATGAAAGCTGCGACACTCTCAACTTCAACTTCTCTTCTTAAGAAATCAAATCCGCCACCCTCCTCTGGCCACTATGTTGAATAGCATATTACCTTCTACTTCACTTCAAAAGAAATTAAATCCGCCACCCCCTCTGGCCACTATGTTGAATAGGATATTAACTTCAACTTATTTTCATAAGAAATCAAATCCGCCACCCCCTCTGGCCACTATGTTGAATACGATATTACCTTCTACTTCACTTCAAAGGAAATCAAATCCGCCACCCCCTCTGGCCACTCTGTTGAATAGGATATTACCTTCTACTTCACTTCAAAGGCAATCAAATCCGCCACCCCCTCTGGCCACTATGTTGAATAGGATATTACCTTCTACTTCACTTCATAAGAAATCAAATCCGCCACCCCCTCTGGCCACTATGTTGAATACGATATTACCATCTACTTCACTTCAAAGGAAATCAAATTCGCCACCCCCTCTGGCCACTATGTTGAATAGAATACTACTTTCTACTTCACTTCATAAGAAATCAAACCCGCCACCCCCTCTGGCCACTATGCTCCATAGGATATTAACTTCAACATATTTTCTTAAGAAATCCAATCCGCCACCCTCCTCTGGCCACTATGTTGAATAGGATATTGCCTTCTACTTCACTTCAAAAGAAATTAAATCCGCCACCCCCTCTGGCCACTATGTTGAATAGGATATTAACTTCAACTTATCTTCATAAGAAATCAAATCCGCCACCCCCTCTGGCCACTATGTTGAATACGGTATTACCTTCTACTTCACTTCAAAGGAAATCAAATCCGCCACCTCCTCTGGCCACTCTGTTGAATAGGATATTACCTTCTACTTCACTTCAAAGGAAATCAAATCCGCCACCCCCTCTGGCCACTATGTTGAATAGGATATTACCTTCTACTTCACTTCATATGAAATCAAATCCGCCACCCCTTCTGGCCACTATGCTGAAGAGGATATTAACTTCCTTTTATCTTCATAAGAAATCAAATCCGCGGCCACTATGTTGAATAGGATATTACCTTCTACGTCACTTCAAAGGAAATCAAATCCGCAACCCCCTCTGGCCACTATGTTGAATAGGATATTACCTTCTACTTCACTTCAAAAGAAATCAAATCCGCCACCCCCTCTGGCCACTATGTTGAATAGAATACTACTTTCTACTTCACTTCATAAGAAATCAAACCCGCCACCCCCTCTGGCCATTATGCTACATAGGATATTAACTTCAACATATCTTCATAAGAAATCAAATCCGCCACCCCCTCTGGCCACTATGCTACATAGGTTATTAACTTCAACTTATCTTCATACATACGAAATCAAATCCGCCACCCCTTCTGGCCACTATGCTGAAGAGGATATTAACTTCCTTTTATCTTCATAAGAAATCAAATCCGCGGCCACTATGTTGAATAGGATATTACCTTCTACGTCACTTCAAAGCTAATCAAATCCGCCACCCCCTCTGGCCACTATGTTGAATAGGATATTACCTTCTACTTCACTTCAAAAGAAATCAAATCCGCCACCCCCTCTGGCCACTATGTTGAATAGAATGCTACTTTCTACTTCACTTCATAAGAAATTAAATCCGCCACCCCCTCTGGCCACTATGCTACATAGGATATTAACTGCAACATATCTTCATAAGAAATCAAATCCGCCATCCCCTCTGGCCACTATGCTACATAGGTTATTAACTTCAACTTATCTTCATATGAAATCAAACCCGCCACCCCCTCTGGCCACTATGTTGAATAGGATTTTAACGTCAACTTATCTTCATACGAAAGCATATCCGCCACCCCCTCTGGCCACTATGTTGAATAGGATAGTAACTTCAACTTATCTTCATAAGAAATCAAATCCGCCACCCCCTCTGGCCACTATGTTGAATACGATATTACCATCTACTTCACTTCAAAGGAAATGAAATCCGCCACCCCCTCTGGCCACTATGTTGAATAGGATTTTACCTTCTACTTCACTCCAAAGGAAATCAAATCCGCCACCCCCTCTGGCCACTATGTTGAATAGGATATTAGCTTCTACTTCACTTCAAAAGAAATCAAATCCGCCACCCTCCTCTGGCCACTATGTTAAATAGGATATTACCTTCTACTTCACTTCAAAGGAAATTATCCGCCACCCCCTCTGGCCACTATGTTGAATAGGATATTAACTTCAACTTATCTTCATAAGACATCAAATCCGCCCCCCCCTCTGGCCACTATGCTCAATAGGATATTACCCTCTACTTCACTTCATAAGAAATCAAATCCGCCAACCCCGTCTGGCCACTATGCTACATAGGATATTAACTTCAACTTATCTTCTTAAGAAATCAAATCCGCCATCCTAAGAAATCAAATCCGCCACCCCCTCTGGCCACTATGTTGAGTAGGATATTACCCTCTACTTCACTTCAAAGGAAATGAAATCCGACAAACCCTCTGGCGACTATGTTGAATAGGATTTTACCTTCTACTTCACTCCAAAGGAAATCAAATCCGCCACCCCCTCTGGCCACTATGTTGAATAGGATATTACCTTCTACTTCACTCCAAAGGAAATCAAATCCGCCACCCCCTCTGGCCACTATGTTGAATAGGATATTACCTTCTACTTCACTTCAAAAGAAATCAAATCCGCCACCCTCCTCTGGCCACTATGTTGAATAGGATATTACCTTCTACCTCACTTCAAAGGAAATTATCCGCCACCCCCTCTGGCCACTATGTTGAATAGGATATTAACTTCAACTTATCTTCATAAGACATCAAATCCGCCACCCCCTCTGGCCACTATGCTCAATAGGATATTACCCGCTAATTCACTTCATAAGAAATCAAATCCGCCAACCCCGTCTGGCGACTGTGTTACATAGGATAGCACCTACAACTTATCCTCATACGAAATCACATCCTCCTTTGACATTCATCTTACCTTCGGACTGATTTCACTCCCATGATTTGCCGTGGTCTGATCCCAATTAAAGAGAACCCATGCAATCCACTCCATTCGAAGAAGACAAGTTGCCCATTAGGATTGATGAACAGGTTTTAGTTTCCGATTCTTTTGGTTTCCGATTAACAGGTTTTAGTTTCCGATTCACCTGCTTTAGTTTACGATTCAGCTTTGGTTCCCGATTCCGGGTTTTTGGTTTCCGATTCAAGGGTTTTAGTTTCCGATTCACGGGTTTTAGTTTCCGATTATTTTAGTTTCCGATTAACAGGTTTTAGTTTCCGATTAACGGGTTTTAGTTTCCGATTAACGGGTTTTAGTTTCCGATTAACGGGTTTTAGTTTCCGATTGATGGCTTGACCAAACTTCAAGTCACCATGGGGGTTAAGGATTCGGTTCCTACAACGCTTAAGTTTGGTGTAAACCTTGACAACAAAGGACGCATCAACCGCAACCGGAGGTTCACAACCTTCCGGTAGAAATTCAAGCAACTCAAGAAACGCACGCGGCTCCGCACGCGCAACAGTGTTAGGATGACCATCGTCACACAAGTAGCCAGTCACACTACCAGCAAGCACATAGTCGCGACCATCCCAAACAAGCGCAACAACTGCCCAAGCACATTTCCTTAAGCAAGGATCCTGACTGAAAGGACCACCGCTCCCATCAGTCGCAAAAACCAGGTCGCTAAAGTCATGCGAGACAGGATTAACAAAGACACCTGACCGCACAATGTTTTCACTGGCAACAGGCGGGGCAGAAGTCCAAGACGAAGGCACCAGACCACGCAACCAAAAATGAGACAGCTCTGGCCTAGAATACCACACAATCCATTCAGGCGGAACAGCCCCGCAATGCTCAATACAAGCAGCACACTCAAACAACATATGAACCAAGGTGAGCTCAACGTTACAACGTTGGCAAATTTTCTGGTTCGAATTTAGTGAATGTTGCAAAGCGCCTTGCCACCAAACTTGCAGCAACGGAGCATCTTCCGCAGAAACATGCGCAAACAGCCGCCGGTGGAAAGCAACATCCAAGCCAGACGCGATTCCTTCGCCGAAAAATTGCGCAGACATAACAAGGTTTTGACGCCGACGCAGCGAACGAACAAACCCAAGTTCAAGCTGAGCAAACATGCCATGGTTACAATAATCAAGAGACCAGACATTCCCACAGTCATCAACCCAAGAATCCAAGCACGCCGCAATCCAACCAACATCCATAAGCACCGCCTGAGTGGCCGCCATAGGACCTTTAACAATCATCCACCGGTGCTTCACACCTTTAAGCTCAATCCAACTGGCTTCCCAGGCCTTGGCCAGCGCAGTACAAGCAATGGCTCCGCAACGTCGGACAATTTCAACCCAAATTTTCAATTGTTCAAGTCTTAAACGAAAAAAGGGATCGTCATGGGAATCACAATGGATTTGCATGGCCACTTCAAGTGAACCACGGCCTTTAAGCCATTTATTGGTCCGTGCCACGCCCAACCTCCAAGCACGAAGCTTCTGTGGAGGAACACCAAGCGCCATATGACCCCACAAGGCAACAGAATTGGCAGCCATGTTGACAAACTTGCGCCTGGCTCGGGCAGGCAACTGCTTCACCCTTTTTAAACGAGCTCGGCCTTTCCAAAGCCTGCTGTGATGGACAGCTAACCTCCGCTTCCTAGCCAGCGAATTGTCAATGCCTAAATCCTTAATAGTGACGTGTCCTTGAGGCCAGGACAATCGGCGTAAGGGGCCAGCGCAGCTTTCAAAGCTTTACCAGTTTCAACATCGCCAACCAAAAACCCAGACTTTTTAGTGCTGATTTCAAGCCCACGAGAAACCAAGCCTTCCCGCAACTCCTGAAATCAACCCCAATATCATCAACCCAAGTCGTGAGACCTTGAGGCCTACAAACACGTTGGACATGGGCCATCAGCGTCCAGAGCACAACTTTAGCAAAGACCACACCAAAGGGACACCCTGCAATAATCCCCTTTCTGGGTGGATGGGCGCACTGGTTTGATCCAGAGCGTGCAAAATGCGCGGGCCTTTGTGCACCTGCAGGCACCGGAACAATACCAGAGGAGGGAAACCCAAGGACAAGGCATCCTGCGCCAACAACTCATGATCCACTAAATCATAAAAGCAAGTGAGATAAAAGAGCAAACTGATTTGTTTCAGGCCAAGTTTTTTGGACACTTCAGCTTTACAAAGCCGAAGCAAAGCCACTTGCAGGCATGTAGAACCTTTGACGGCCTGATCCCAAAAGGCCAATTCCTTATCAGCCATAAGCCATTGATCCACCAAAGGCTTTCTCATTTTACACCACAAGCGGTACAACACATGGGTCAAACAAATCGGTCGCTCACAATCCAAGTTTTTGGGCAAACAAGCAACATGCACAAGCAAGAACTGCTCCGGCCAACGAAGACGCGCCTCGACTTGGTGCAAAATATACACCAAACCACTCAAAGCTTCAGTAGGCAACATTTTTAACATCCGGAAAGTACAACCATCCGGGCCCCCTTTTTTGTTCGGGGTGTACTTGAGAGTTTCAACAATTTGAGCCGTGGAGATAGGTTTCAAATCACCAGCCTGCTTAGCCGCCAAATCCTGAAGAATTCCTAAGCTAGGCCAAGCACAATCTGCCTCAGCCTCGCCCCATCTAGCCTTCCAATAATTTCTGCGAGCATGAGGACGCTCAGAAACAGGCAAATCCTGGAAAGGCCGGGCTTCAACGGCTTCATCAGCCCTGATAAAAGCAAACGCAGCTTTTCCACTACCTTGAACCATGTTATGCACAATACCTTGCCATTCCTCAGCTTTAACGCGGATTAATTGCTTCAAGGACCAATGTTTTTGCAAACCAACGTCAAAAACAACTCGCGCAAGCACACAAGAGTTTAAGGTCCCGATTTTATACAAAAGGGATTTCAGCTTCCAAGCCATTTTGTAATTTAAGCCTTCAATATCAACCCACCAGGTTTCAACCTTGGCCGCAGCCCGAATGATAAGTTGGAACATTCGACCCTTTAACTGCAGGGCCGAGGGCCCACCACTAGGGTGTCTTTGAAAGGTTTCAACCCACAAGGAAAGAGTTTGCCAAAATTCTAAATTTGGATTTTTCCGAAGCCGCGTCTGATCAAGACAAGGCATTGCCAAAGGCTTCATTTCAATGGCCACATGTACTCCCCTTCCAAGGTCAGAGTTATCAATGTCTGTTTCAACAGACTTCAACCAACCTTCAGCTTGCGCCATCCAATTGCCAAAAATTTGGGACAAGGTCGGATCAGAAAGCGGCTGTCTCGGACAGGCCAGCTCATTTCGTAACTGCACATCCCTAGGTCCAAAAGCACTCCAGGGCAAACGTGGGCCGGCAAGCATGGGTATGTCCTTATAGACCCGAAGTTTGGGCATCTCCAAATGCAAACAACTCCAAGAAATCGTGACAACCAAAGCCGCATGAGGCCTCCACGGGACATCCCACACTGCTTGCACAGTCATTAAACCAGCCAAAGACCTATGGGCAACCACAAAATCTAAATTGCTGGCGGTGGTGGCAAAAGTTGCCTCGCCGGTATCCACAACAATGCCTGACAGCGACCGCAGAAAAGCTGATTCCCCAACAACGGCAGGATCAGAATTCCAATCGCCAACTACCATCCATGGCAGTCCATCAGCCAGTTGTTTGATGCCCCCCTCAGCGCACCCAAGATTTGTACATTGGTCTGGCCCAAAATGCCTTCACCCGTTTTCAAATAAATGGAAAAAACAGCCATCTTGGAACCAGTCATTTCCAAGACAACTCCACACCATCCATTTCCTTCAAGGCTAAAGGCCGCCAACGTGGAAACCCCCAAGGGGCGAGCAGCAGCAACAAACTGACCACCTGTATTGCCTCCTCTCCCAGTGGCTTCCGCCGGGACGAAATTGCCTTCCAGGCCCCATGCCTTCATCTGCCTTTGTGTTTTCCTGGTTTGGCTCTGGTTTTGGTGAGTTTCTTGTATCGCAAAAACCTGGGCATCTTGTTCTGTGTGTGTCGCCAGCCAACTGCTAACAGCAGTATTATAGCTGGTGACATTTGCACTGATGAGTTTGATGCTACCCTGACTCCTGGTTGGCTTCAACCTTGGCACCGTCTGGCGCCAGGGGCATGGCCTCATCAGTTTTCCTACGCTTCTGGTCACGCAACCCTCCTGCCATGTCGAGGAGCCGCTGTTGCTGCTCAGGTCGCAGCTTTGACCCCATATCTGCCAAGATGAGGTGGATGAGGTTCTCATCACCCTGTATGGCATGGCCTTCAGCCAAATCCTCTGCATCCTTTGGAAGTCCCAAGGCATACTTCCAGTAGACCTTTGAACTTTCTTCCACTTCTGTCTCTGCAGCTGTGCGCCCTTCAGTGGCATCCTGCAGCTTGTTCTCAAGCTGTGCCACCTGTTCTTTGGCCTTGGCCAGGCGCTGCTCTGCTTGAGCCTTTGCCTGCCCTGCCTTCTTGAGCTGGGAGGTTGCCTTCTGGAAGCGTTCTGTGGCTTCAGCCTTTGTGGGTTCTTTGGTTTCTTGCTGTTTGGCTTGTTCTGCTTGCAATGCTTTTTGAAGGGAGAGGCGCACCTCTTCAGGCATATCCGTGTTTGGGGCTTCAAGGAGCTGTTGAGCTGTGGTTTGCCAAGGGGGGGTAGGGCAATCCATCGGCTCATCTCCATCTTCCCAAATCTCTGCACCTTTGGGGCCTTTTCCCACATGGCGTATCTTAGGCACCAGGGGCTTGCCCCATGCACTTCCCTTTCCTCTACCTGTGTGTTGGGTGGTATAATCATAGCCATTCCACTGCCATGAGCTTTCCCAATTTCGCTGGCATTGGGCACATGCCTTGTTGGGACTGTTCCAACGAGTGGCCCATATCCAGGAATCACAACCCGGAGTAGCACAACGAATATAAGCCCTTTGAAGGCCATACGACATGACAGGTACACAAAGGCAGTTTCTAACTCACCTCTTGAACATTTAACAGCTTGAGCCAAAATGGCTACGGACTCATCTACTCTCTCCACATCTCTACTCTCTTCACATCCCTACTCGCACTATCTCTACTTTCTCCACATCTCTGTTATCCCCACGTCCCTACTCTCTCACATCTCTACTCTCTCACATCCCGACTCTCTCCACATCTCTACTGTCTTCACATCCCGACTCTCTCACATCTCTACTCTCTCCGGTCTCTCCACATCTCTACTCTGGTCACTACTCTCTGCTCATCTCTAATCTCTTCGCATCTTTGATGATGAATTGTTGTGATGATGTATTGTTGTGGTGATGTGTTTTGTGATGATGTATTGTTGTGGTGATGTATTTTTGTGATGCATTTTTGTGATGATGTATTGTTGTGGTGATGTATCGTTGTGGTGATGTTTTTGTGGTGCTGTATTGTTGTGGTGATGTTTTGTTGTGATGATGCATTGTTGTTGTGATGTAATGTTGCCCACATTCTGCAATTTTCGTACAAAGTTTTTTAGACTTCTAAACTTCCTTTGATGGGTTTGAGAACGGGTCTATGAAAATCCAACCAGCATTTTGTAGCAAAAAAAAGCGGGGTCAAATCTTGGCTTTGGAAAACAATTGTTACTATAAATTTGGAAGTGGAAGTTTGGGGCACTGGGCATGCGGCCTCATCAGCGTGCTACAGAATGTAACAAAGAAGCGCAAGACAAGCATGACTGGGCTTACCTTTGGCTCTCCAAGCTGTGCAGTGCTCAACAAAAATATTGCAGAGGGAAAAACGATTGGGTCAAAGCATGCACACATAAAATATGTATATATACTGTTCTGTTCTATTGTGTTTATTTTGGGCCAGGGTTCATGGACACTTTCGATCATGCGGGAGAGCTCTTTGGCCTCACTTCTTGGAACGGCCAGAATATGCTCAAATTTGCATTTTTGAAAGAAAGACTGTGAAGAAGAAAATAAAATCTTGGAGGGCGCACACTTCCGGGAGAGGGGCGGAATGGCTCAATGAAAGGATTGGATCACGCCACATGTCAACTTCTTCCAATAAGTCACAAAAAAGCAAGGTGAAGACGGAATGGGAAAGGCAGGAAAGAGACATGAGATGGTGAAAGGTACGTATGAAAGACTTGCGTGTGAGAGAGTTGCTTGTATGTGTCTGTCTGTATGTATGTAAGACTGTAAGACATGTATGTATGTATGTACGTACGTACGTATGTATGTATGTGTGTATGTGTGCGTGCTGTGTGGCCACACACAAAACATGCCTCATGCCATGAAAAGCGGCGAGCGGCATGAGGTGCGTGGCGTCAGCGGCAGTGTGGCCAAACGTGCCGGTGCAGACCATCATGGAAAGGGATGGTTTGCGACTGGTGCTTGGCGAAAGCAGATGGTTGTCGAAGGAAGTTTAGAAGTCAAACTTCCGACAATATGGACAGATGAAAAGCAGAGATGGGAAGAGTCAGAGAAGAGAAAAGAAGAGAAGAGAAGAAGAAAGAAGATCAAAAAAGTGAAAGTCTCCGAAGAAAGAAGATCCAGGTGCGCGAAAAGGTAGGAAAGTCGCGAAACACTGTGTTTTTCCAATGATTTGTGGCTCCGGAGGGTCGAAAAGTGGGCTCGCTAAAGCGACGGGTGCGGAGCCAGCTGCCCAGATGAGAGATGAAAAATTGCACGCCGTTGTGGCGCGAAGCACATTTCCAAGTCAAAATGTACAAAAACACACCAGGTTCGGAACACTTTTTGAAGTGAGATGTCGAAAAAGTGCACGCCGTTGTGGCGTGAAGCTCATTTCCAGACCAAAATGCAAAGCACCTGATGTTCGGACCACTTGGAAGTTGAGATGTCGAAAAAGTGCACGCCGTTGTGGTGCAACGCACATTTCCAAGTCAAAACGGTGTGAAGCACATGTCCAAGTGAAAATGCACAAAACACACAATGCTGGCGGGAAGCACGTTTCCAAGCCAAAAGTGCAAAAAACTGAGAGGTACGGAGCACTTTTGGACGTTCAGATGTGGTTTCGCGTGGCAGGCGCAAGGGATTATGCACCTTGTCAAGAGTGAGCAAAACGTGAGGGTTTTGTGGGTTTTCCAAAAAATGATGGCAGGCGTGGGACATTTGAAGAGGATCTGCAAAGATAGATTTCCCGTGGCAAGCGCAATACGAGAGACATGTTCATCAGAGATGTTAGGAGGTCCGGGCGCTGATTTCCTGAGAAGGGTTGCATTTTGGAGCATCAGACCTTCAGTTTTGCTGAGATGATTTTGCGTGACAGGTGCGGCACTTTGTATGACATAGCATCACTTTTTGGTGGCGGGCGCAATACTTTAGACAGGTGGAGTGGAAAAATCGCAAAACGCATTGGCACGAGGCCGTCAGCTCTGCATTCAACTTTCCATGTTTGCAATTTTTGAAGGAAGTCTCGCAGAATTGTTTCGTTTTTGATGTTGGGAACTTCGAAAGTTGAGGAAGTCTCGCAGAATTGTTTTGTTTTTTATGTTGTCAAGTTCAAAACTTGAGGAAATCTCGCAGACTTGTTTCGTTTTTGACGTTGTCAAGTTCAAAAACTGACGGCGTCTCGCGAAATAGCTGCGTTTTCAAGCTTGCAGATAGACAGATAGACAGATAGATTAACTGGATAGACAACTACAGCTACAACTACAACTACTACTACTACTACTACTACCTACTAACTACTAACTACTACCTACTACCTACTACCTACTACCTACTACCTACTACCTACTACCTACTACCTACTTACTACTACTACTACTACCACCTACTACTACTACTACTACTACCACCTACTACTACTACTACTACTACTACTACTACTACTACTCTACTACTCTACTACTCTACTACTCTACTACTCTACTACTCTACTACCTACTACCTACTACCTACTACCTACTCCTACTGCTACTGCTACTACTACTACTACTAGTACTAGTACTACTACTACTACTACTACTACTACTACTACTACTACTACTACTACTACCGTATCTGATTTAGATCTTAAATATCAATATCTCGAGTTGATAAACATAGATAACCAGGGTGGTAAATAGGCCATCCAAAGAAAAAGGAGCAGATAGATAGATAGATAAATAGATAGATAGATAGATAGAGATAAAGCAGCCAACGCGGTCCGGAAGACATGCAGCAGCAGTCCGGAGATGGTGAGCAGGAAGGTGTTTCAGAGTGGTTTCAGACCTCTTTTGGGCTTGTTTTTTGGGTACCCCCAGCTTTGGGAGATGAAAAAAGAAAGAGAAAAGGTAGAGAAAGAGAGAGAGAGAGAGAGACAGAGAGAGGAAGAGGGAAAGAGAGAGAGAGAGAGAGATAGAGAGAGAGAGAGAGAGGAAGATGGAAGATGGAGACAAACAGAAGGCGAGAGAGAGAGAGAGAGAGACAGAGAGAGGAAGAGGGAGAGGAGAGAGAGAGCGTTGCAAATGGTGAGCAGCGGGGTGTTTCAGAGTGGTTTCAGACCTCTTTTTGTCCGTAGGCTACCTCAGCTTTGGAGAAAAAACAGGAAAACACGGGAAAAGAAAGAAGAGAAGGGAGAAAGAGACAGAGAGAAAGAATAAGTCTTGAGACGGTGAGCAGGAAGATGTGTCGAACTGGTTTCAGACCTCTTTTGGGGCCGGTTATGGGGCTACCTAGTTCTTAAGACATCCAAAAGAAGGGACTCAAAACAGATTGTACTTGAAACACATGCGGTCCGGAAAGACGTGCAACGGTCCGGAAAAGCAAGCACCCAAAACGTACTCTAATCGTAGCGATTGCGGTCCGGAAAGGCATGCAGCGGTCCGGAAAAGCGAGCACCCAAAACGCACTCTAATTGTAGACATTGCGGTCCGGAAAGACCTGCAGCGGTCCTACTGTCTACAATTAGAATACTTTTTGGGTGCTTGCTTTTCAGGACCGCTGCAGGTCTTTCCGGACCACAATGGCTACAATGAGTACGTTTTGGGTGCTTGCTTTTCCGGACAGCTGCATGTCTTTCCGACGTAATGTCTACAATTAGAGTACGTTTTGGGTGCTTGCTTTTCCGGACCGCTGCATTAGAGTACTCTTTGGGTGCTTGCTTTTCCGGACCGCTGCAGGTCTTTCCGGACCACAATGGCTACAATTAGAGTACTTTTTGGGTGCTTCCTTTTCCGGACCGCTGCATGTCTTTCCGGACCACAATGGCTACAATTAGAGTACGTTTTGGGTGCTTGCTTTTCCGGACCGCTGCATGTCTTTCGGACCGCGATATCTACAATTAGAGTACTTTTTTGGTGCTTGCTTTTCCGGACCGCTGCAGGTCTTTCCGGACCACAATGGCTACAATTAGAGTACGTTTTGGGTGCTTGCTTTTCCGGACCGCTGCATGTCTTTCGGTCTACATAGAGTACGTTTTGGGTGCTTGCTTTTCCGGACCGCTGCATGTCTTTCCGGACCACAATGGCCACAATTAGAGTACGTTTTGGGTGCTTGCTTTTCCGGACCGCTGCATGTCTTTCCGGGACACAATGGCTACAATTTAGAGTACGTTTTGGGTGCTTGCTTTGTCTCTGTCTCTTTCTCCCTTCTCTTCTTTCTTTTCCCGTTCTTTCCTGTTTTTTCTCCAAAGCTGAGTTAGCCTAAGGACAAAAAGAGGTCTGAAACCGCTCTGAAACACCCGCTGCTCACCATTTACA